CGGATTTGTCTGACGGAAATATGAGGTAGGTGGGTGTTTGGTTGTAAGAATAGAGTTATTCTAACTTCGCAATAAAATTAACATAGTAAAATTAAATTTTGACCGAAATAATAATAATAATAAAAATAAAAATAAAAATAATTTACTTTGTATTAGCAGCAGATTTTAGTTTTTCCAAGAATAATATATCTAACTAAAATATAATTTAAAAATATATAAAAAGAATTGATAGAGAAATTACAGAGCAAAAATAAATACACGTGAAATTAAATATTGTAATTAAATTAATATTATTGGCGGTCGATGAAGTTGAGAAGCATATTTGCATGCCGGATTTCTGAAGTACGTTTGCGTACAGGAGTTGATTCCAAGTGTCGGGAACTCCTGGAAGACACCAGTGCGTACAATCCATGCCTTGGCGTCCTCCGTAGCCGTACACAGAAGGGTGACCGTCTTTTCTTAATTGTGACAGCTCTGTCACTTTTAACAAATAAACTGGCTTAAACGACATCGTATTCAAAACCTTCTCCAGAATTACTTCTCCTGGATGTGTTGTAGTTGGTAGATATTTAGTGTCGGCCACTGGTTGTGTCTCACTCTCGCAGGTTTTATTACTCCAATCACCCCAGTCGCTCGAACTGTACATCACCCAGAAAACAAGTAATTAATTAATTAATTAACTAATTAATTAGGTTTTTTATGAACTTACTTGAGATGATCAGGGGAGACGCCTTGGAGAAAGACCACGGCTTTAGTAGGGTCCACATTCAAGTTGACCCACGTAGCCCATGTTTCCAGTGCTTTCTCATATGCCACCAAACGGTCCATATCTCTGTATGTATTTTTCCCATCTTCTATATAATCCCATCTGTAAATTATTGAAAAAGAGACTAATAATGTGATTAGTTAATAATATAAATTAATTGAGATTAGTATTGATCGTACGGCTGTTTTCTTCCCGTATGAAGCCACCAATGCCACGTGTCGAAAATAAGTACGTCGATTTCCTTCCAAATGACTCCATCCCTAATTGAGTTTAGTTTCAAAACTTTTCCTTTCTCCTCACTGATTAAATCAACCAGAAATACATTCCGAGATAACAGCAATGAAACATTGTATTCCTGAAATTCATTTATATCATCCATCCATCATTATACACATACATACCCACATACATATATATATATATGTACAAAATATTCACTTGACCATGAAGTTCATTGATCATTAATGAAACCCAACTCTTTTCTCATGTAACCATATATATATATGTATGTATAAAGTTAGAAGGTTCAGGAAAGAGAATCTTACAGGGAAAGTGAAAGTAGAAAGTGAACCTTGTCTGTTTAAGCTATATTTAGCATGCGGCACTGCTTTGTGAAGCATGCATGTTAATGACTGCCACTGGTTCAAACTCAGAGAATCTCCCACAAACATCATCCGTTTCCCCTTTAATCTCTTTAACAAATCTTCTCCATCAAACCTACACAGAGAGAGAGAGAGAGAGAGAGAGAGAGAGATCAAATACATATACATATATATACATATACAGATATAGATATAGATATAGATATAGGTATAGGTATAGACATATACCTGGGCAAATTGCAGGAAAAGGGTTGCCAAGAATAATGGAGATAGAAGTTGTCTGGTCTACCATTGGCGATACAATTGAACTCATCTTGTAGAAAAGGACAATCGGATGAGTTGTAAAGAGGGTAATTATTAGAATCATCATAAACCCACCTTCCATGGAATAATAATTCATTCACAATCGCTTCCGCCGCAATTGCTTCTCGTTGAAGAAGATGAAAATAAATTATGATGATCTTCACGCCCACTACTATACCTAACCTACCCATGTTTTTCCTTCACCCCAAACAATCCGGAACACACGTGCCCCCTTCCTTCTATTAAATATTATATATATATATATGTATATGTTTGATGTATATATTGAGAAACAAGTAGATACTATCTAGGAAAAAAATGACGTATAAATTAGAAAGTAATTATTATATAGGAATTAATCATATATAAAAATTGAAAAGAAAAAAGGAGAAGAGAGAAATTAAGGAATTATTATAAAAAGTAATAATTAAAAAGGGATGGTTTGAAATAGCCGGCATTTTTCTCGTTTGAAGAAGAGCTGGTTTTATACGCAACCTGTCCAGTTGGGAAAAAGAGGATGAAGATGAAGAAGATGACTTTGACGGAAGAAATCAAGCTTATTATAAATTTAAAAAGACATAATAAAAAGATTAAGTTGTATATATCACTATGATATAAATTGATATTGGTATAATAGTGACAATGACATTAATGGAATCAACCTAGCTACGTATTCTTGTGACCAAAGTTTCTCCACCCCAATTATGTATGTGTATATATATACATACATACATACCAAATATACCCATATTTTAAATTTATTTTAAATTTATTAAATTTCTATTAAGACAGAACATAAAATTAAAAATGAGATAATAAATTTTAAAAAAATCTATAAAAACTGCCCTTTATGGAGGTTGGATTTGCACTAAGCGCATATAATAAT